AAGAAAAGAAGGGGAAAATACCAAGCTTTTACCGGTTTTTCAGCCGGAAATGGGTGGCGGCAGCTGGGGGCTTCGACTGATTGCAGGGGGGTCGGGAAGAGCAGAAACACGAAATGGCTGGGGAAGAAAGAAAGAAGAAAAAAAGGAAAAGAAAAGTAACTGACCCTTATCCAATTTTCCTCTTTTAAGTCCCTCAACTTTTGAAATTTTGGCTATTAAGCCCAAAACAATATTTTTTCACAATTTAATCCTTAACTAAGTGCTAAAATATCACAAAATTTTGGGATATTACACTACTAATTTACCACTTTATGAAGGATGTGATGAGGGTGATACAGTACTCAAATAGGTGTCTCATTTTATGAATGCAAAGACACTTTACAATATGAGTGTGGCTAATTGGGATTATGTGTTAAAGTGTTGTAGGAGATGGATTAAGCTAGAGGATCGAGATAGGATTCCAAACGATTTTTATAGTGCTAAAAAGATGATGAGGTGCTTCAGTCTAGGTTATAAGAAGTATGATGTTTTTGTAAATAATTGCTTCTTGTATTATGGTGAATATGAAGGCAAAAACTACATCACATGTCCAGTATGTGGTGAACGTTGTTTTAAGGAGGCACATGTGCAGCAAAATCAATATATACCAAGGAAGTCATTGTGGTACCTCCCAATTACACATAGACTGAAAAGGTTGTACATGTGTAGAAAAACTGCTGAGCACATGACATGGCACCTTACTTGTGGTGGTGAATCTGAAAAGATTGTGCATCCTGCTAGTGCTGAGGCATGGAAACACTTTGATTGCACCTACCTTGACTTTGCATCCGATCCAAGGAATGTAAGGCTTGGATTGTGCACAGATGGGTTCACTCCATTTGGACATACAGCAGCCCCGTAATAATGTTGGCTTATATTTTTGATTGTTTACAACCTACCACCTCCATCAATGTGTATGAAACCAGAATCCATCTTTCTTTCTCTAATAATACAAGGGCCTCAAAGTCTAAGAAAAAATATTGATGTCATGCTCCGCCCACTGATTGATGAATTAAAGAGACTTTGTTATAATGGGGTCTAAACATATGATAGCTTTACACATCAACATTTCATTATGAGAGCAGCACTTATGTGGACAATTACTGAGTTTCCTGCATATGGCATGTTATTTGGATGGAGCACACATGGTAGATTATCATGTCCGTATTGTCAAGAAATTTCTAAGGCATTTCACCTCCCAAATGGTGGGAAGATATCGTTTTTTTATTGTCATCCGTAGTTTTTACCCCCTGATCATCCATTCAGAAAAAATAGGAATGATTTTAAAAAAGGCCATGTAGAGAATGGTGCTCCCCTAGAGAGATTGTCGGGTGATGATATGTTCCGAGAAATTCAGCAGTTGCTCGATATAATATTTGGGAAGCCATCCCAAAGGTAGGTGATTGAAGGATTTTGTGATTGGCATAATTGAGTTAAAAAAAAAGTATCTTTTAAGAGCTTCCTTATTGACGCACAAACTTAATCCGTCATAACCTTGATGTCATGCACTGTGAGAAAAATTTTTTTGATAAGATCTTTCACACCGTCATGGATGACTCATTGACAAAGGACAACTTGAAGGCAAGGATGGTGTCACACCCCAGAACTCGAATCCGGGGACGTGGCAGACGCCGTACACTTGTGAGAGGGTCCCACAAATGCACAAGGCTCGGAACTTTATTATACCACAATTTGATACCACTCAATCTGAAGATAAAATTGTAAAATTTGCTATGATATCATAAAATCTCCAAATAAAGTCTAACTTACAAGATCATGATTTATATCTAAAATCTATGTTCATTCTACAAGATAGCTAGCCGTCTAACTTGTCATTCCCCTCGTTTTTCCCTGTCCTTGACTTCGCTTCCTGAAATGGTGGACAAGGAAAAACTATGAGATAACTCAGTAAGTAAATATGGATAGCCCTTAATTAAACTTATAGCATGCCAACCAGTATAATCACGAAAAACAGGTACGAGTACGAAAACGAAATAGACGTCTCCTTTATAGGTCATGGCCAATGTTATAAACCTCCCACTGGCAGGCACACGATTTACTAGTATATAATCCCACTAGCAGGATTTCAGAATAACAGAAACGAACCGGTTCTATCAGTAACATGTCGACATGTGCTAGCATTTATAAACCTCCCACTAGCAGGCACACGAATAACATGACCATATCGAAGACAAAACCAGGCAAGATTTACAGAAAAATCCATGATTCACAATCACTCTCAATTTCAAGAATAAACCAGAAAATTTCCATGTGGCCAACAAAAAAATCAAAATTTACAAAATTCTCAATTCATTAGGGCAGTTAAGTAAATTCCAAGTAGGCATGCTCAATTCAATGAAAATGATAATAATTCCATTTCAAACCAATTATACTTGGTGCTAATAAAATCAATTTAACCTTGCCAACATCTCAAAAACAATTTAAAACATGCTTTGAAATCGAAGGGTGTTACCATAATTTACTTACCTCAAATCGCATAAATCGAGGACTCAATCCAAGTACTAAAGTGCTCTAAGGATCAAGAACCTAACCAAAATATCCAAGAATTAATTCTATAAGCAATTTCATTTATTTATTTATTTTCATTGACCGAATTGTGTATATATATATATGTACACAAACACCTATACATAATTTTCCCAATCCCACAGACAAAATGGAAAAACCCAGCTTTTATTCCAATTATTGATTTAATTATAAACAACACATATATACCAAATTTTCCAAATTCACGGATAGAAAAGGGAGAACTTGAACTTTGGCAAAAAAATAGCAAATCACGGGGTTTTCTCCAAAAATCACAGTAGCCAAAATAAGCTAATTTTCTACATGAATTAACTTAAAACATGTTCAAAGGCTGTCAGAATTCATCCCCTAATTCAACAAAATTCGGACAGCACATGGGTCAGCAATTTCATGGACAACTCAACAGCTAATGGATAATTTCAGGCTTAAAGGGGCTATCACATACCAGAAATCCAGCAAGCAAAGTCGGAGCTGGCGGGTTTGGGGGAGAGCCGGCGGGAAGTGCAAGGGAAAATCAGGAAATCTACCCAAAAATTGGGAGGAACCAAGAGAAATTAGAGTAAACCAAGCCAAATCAAGGAAGAACAGAGAAATTGGTGGCTGTTTCTTACCAGAAACCGGAGCAAATCACACCCACAAAGCAAGAGCAGCAGATGGAAGGAACAAAGTAGAGCCAATCCGGAAATTCTGCAGAGGGGGGAAGATTTCTAAGTCCTAAACTTGTTCTTGAACAAGAAAAGAACAAAAATCATCAAGTTCTCTTACCGATTTCTCAAGTGGCGGGTGCGTCGGGGCCTAGGTCTTCTTATTAGGTGCAGGGAGAAGAAGAAGAAGAGCAGAACACGAGGATAAGGAAGAAAAAGAAGGAAAAAAATAGCTGATCCTTATCCAATTTTTCCTCTTTTAAGTCCCTCAAGTTTATAAATTTTAAGCTCAACAATATTATTTCCTCACAATTAAGCCCCTAACTAAATGCTAAAATATTAGAAAATTTGGGATATTAGTCTAGGGATGGCAATTCTCCCCGCTCCCCGTGGGGCCCCGCGGGGATCCCTGTCACGGGGACGGGGCGGGGAGGAATATTCCTCCCCGCGGGGCGGGGATGGGGACCATTTTCTCCCCGCGAAATTTCGCAGAGAATTTTCCCGGCCCCGTGGGGCCCCGCGGGGGTCCCCATCCCCGCCAAAAAAAAAAGTTTTTATTTTAAAATTAATTTATTCTCTAAACCCAAACCCAAACCTAAACCCAAATTCAATTCAATTACAATTAAACTTAACTCAATACTATCCAACCCAACCCAACCCACCCCATTCCCCTACATTTAATCCTAATCCTAATTTATTTTAATTTTCATCACTCTCACTCTCACTCACGGTCTCACTCTCAATCTTTTGTCTGTAGCTCACCCATCTCTCACCTTCATCTCACCTTCTCAGTTTCCTCTGTTGTAGCTACTGTCGAATCCATCTCCATTGTTGAAGCTTTGCTTTCCTTGTCTTGTTTCGGTGACATTGACTTGCAAAGACTAGAAATTTCAAACCATGAAATTATTTATTTGGTGAAACACG